CTCACCCGAACCCCTTCCCTTGGCACCATGACTCAGGTTCCGGTCTTTCCCCTGTCCGGTCAGGAGCACGGACAGGGGAAAGAAGCAGAGGGGAGGGGTCACTCGGTGCCCCCCCCCCTTGGCTTCACCCCACCCTGCCCCGCACGAGCTCACGTCCAGCTCGTGCAATGGCTCGGAGCGTACCGAATGGTTGTCTTATATATGCTGTTATCACAATCAAAACATTGGATTGATACATCTGCACCGATCGAATCCCGGTTTGTCTTGCGGTCGTTTTCTCCTTTCACTAACCTGTTTAATCCTGTGAAGCACTTTGCGGACGGACAGACATACAAACCGACATACATACCTACCATACCCGACAAACCGACACACGAAGTTTCTGCTTTATAGAATGTAAGATAATAGGTAGCAGACAACCATTGTCTGTCATCGTCCCACGAGACAGACTGGCTGTCAGTCGCCGTTGTCTGCCATCGTAGTCAGCGTGTTAAATTGGCTCAATCATAACTAATCAGCATCGAACCCACAAATCCCAACCCCAAATTCTGGCCATAGAAGTCTTAGGCAGCGTTCAGACTTCGCGATCGCGTCGCTAGTGGTAGCGACTGGTTGTGTAGCGCGACTGATTCGATCGCGCTCCAATGCAAAAATCAACTGGACGGATGCTAATTTACAGCCATTTTCGGTTACTTTTTGCTTCTTTCTCCTCCCGCTTGCTTCTCGATTGTTTCTTCCTCCTCCTGGCACTACTTTCTAATCTGTTTCTATTGTTTGTCTGTTATTATGCTTTTCACCTTGACGATGGACCGCAGGTCTGCACGCAACTTTTCTTGTTTTCGAGGTGGGTTTTTCAGGTTCCCTGCAGTTTTGGTTATCTTTTTGATTCTCATCAATCATATTGTGTTTAGCTTGGTCGGTAGTTCAGCAGTTCAGTAGAAACCTTCACCTGTACGGTAAGTAGTTTCTCTTTGCACCTATTTTCTAACTGTGTTGTTAGAGAGAATCTAGTAAATTCTAACATAACCGAGGCACAACACAATTAGAAAATAGAAATAAAGAAAAACTATTCACTGTACATTTGAATTTTCTACTTTAGGCTATGAAAAACCCACCTTGAAAACAAAAAAAAATCGAGTTCGCAGAACGGCCTGTCTATCCAAAAAATTTCAATGCATCTGAAAAATTTCACTATGTCAAAGGTAAAAAGCATAATAACTGACAAACAATAGAAACAGATTAGAAATAATAGTGCCAGGAGGAGGAAGAAACAATCGAGAAGCAAGCGGGAGGATAAAGAAGCAAAAAGCAATGGTTGTGAATTAGCATCCGTCCAGTTGATTTTTGCATTGGAGCGCGATCGAATCAGCCGCGCTACACAACCGGTCGCTACCACTAGCGACGCGATCGCGAAGTCTGAACGCCTTACTGTCAAAAATGTTGTGGAGGTATTCAGAAGCGACTACCTAAAGAGTTTTTGGTCCATTTTGCGAATGTCGCGAGATGTGCTCCAGTGCAACTTCTAAATGCGCGCGAATGCTCAAAATTCAAGCGTCCGATCCGATATTATGTCACTCTCTCTGAGGAGAGTAGTTGTCGCGACGCGAGGATCGCTCCCGAGGGAAATCCCTCAGGGTGCGCCGGTGCTCACGTGTAACCGCCGCAATGACCAACTACGACCTATCCGTGATCGCGCGGTAACGTGCGACGCCTCACCGATGGCACCATCACGGCCCTCCCGGGTTAGTTCAACATTATCTACGACTGCGTGTATATCGTATCTCTATCCTCTATCATATACTACATATTTCGGCGGCGGACTCGTGGGGCCTCGGCCCTTAGAACTGTTATATATGATGAATATTTCCAATTCTTCCTGGTCCAACAGCGGGTCGAGGGCGCCGGCCCGACGTGAGTTGTATTATCAAAGTTGACATTGTTTTCCTCATTTGATTGTGGTCACTACTTCACTTACCTTATAAATCTATCGCTTATTTCATGTTTTATGCATTTCATCGGTATCACCGAACTAGTATGTCTCTGTGCCACGAGCTGGTAAAATCCTATCGGCTACCGATCGCTTGGATCGATAATGGCCAGCACTACCACCTCCCACACAGCGGGTCACACCGCCACAAACCAATCAGGGACATCAAAGTGGACTACGCCAGTTGAAGTGGAGCTAGTTCATAAACTGGGGTGCCAAGCGCATTGGTAGTCTCGGGTGCGGAAATGAACTAGGGTGGCAACGATTTCATCACGCATCTGCGCGCAGGGAATACTAATGTGCAATACCCAGGTAATTCAGAAAAGTCGGGCGAAGCAAATCGAAAAGTGGGAAGTACTCACCAAAAGAAGGGAACAACATGGGTTCCCAGGCGACGCTGCTAACATCAAACAGCAGCAACGCACGGTAGATCGGGAGATTCGAATCGTTACCACTGTAAACCCCGTTCAGGCAACGGGTGCACCGAGGGAGCTAGCTCATCCCCTCTACCATGTGGGTTGGCCACCCAATAAGGTAGCTAGGGTTAGGTGTAATGCATAGGCGGTCTAACCGCATATAGTGATCTCCTACTTTCATTTGCTACACTCGAATTTTCTGATCATCTATGGTACCAGTTCCACCAAAATAAAACACTACTACAAAGTCCAAAAAAGCAACTAGTCTTAGCGACATAATCCAGAAATACCTAGCATAGCCGAGGCTTTGACGCCTCCTACGGATAAAGGCGACACCGCTTAGGAAGGCACAGTCATTTTTACTTTGTACAGTTACGATTTTCTTTCATTCATGCATTCATTCACTGCTTTCCATTCTTCTTTCTTGTCAACACTACTTTCTTATTCCTACTTTACCACTTTGCTTATTTGAATGTTTGAATAAGTTTGCGTGCAATTATTATCGTGACCAACACTGAAAAACCGCGTGCATTTTCCCCAAATTTGGGAACATGCGTGGCTTACCTGTCACACCAGCAGTCAAGATGTCTGCGTCAGGATACGTAAAAGGACAGATGACGAAAGCGGCTAACGCCTTGAAGGACAATCTGAAGGAGATGGAAGAAAAACTGACGGAAATATACAACGCCGAAATCACAGTGGGAAGTTTCGCTTCCGACACCAGAGCAACAACGATCTACAAACGACAAGTGCTCGAGGGAATGGCAGCGCTACAGTACCACATAGAAAGTACATCGCAAAGAGGGGAGAAACACGCGGAAGAGGAACAAGCAGAAGAAGAACGTTAATGCATTAGTTCAAGAGTTCACCGAACACTGGGAGAAAATAGAATCAGAAAAACTACTCTTGAACGCATCGTTAATGTTTTCAGCCGCGAGCAGCCTGAAAAACGAACTAGAAGAAAACCTCTCGACGGAGAAAAAGTACCGGAATACTACAAGTACTACAGTCAACCCAGAACTGAATATCCAACTACCAAAACTGGAAATCCCACCCTTTGAAGGGGACATGGTGGAATTCCCACAATTTTGGGAGTTATATTCCATGGCAGTACACAATAACCCAAACGTGGGAACACAAGTAAAATTCGTCCAGCTCAAAAGTATGCTAAGAGGAAGAGCAAGCGACTTAATTGCGTCCATACAACTTAAGCCAGAAAACTATGTCTTGGCAGTCAATCTTTTACTTAATACATATAACAGGCCAGACGTATTACGGAACAGATTATTCGAACAACTGGAGGAATTGCCCCCAGCGGATAACGCTCCTATAGAACAGCGCCACACGTTCTGCAAAGTAAAAGCGATATGGACGCAACTAAGAAATCTTAACGAACAGCCTGGATCGACGGCAACAATGAGAACAATTCGATCCAATTTCCTCAAAAGATAAGAGAGAAAGTCGGAGAGAGGAGGAAAAGAAACGATAACTGGACTACAGAAGATCTTCTTGAAGCTCTCGACAACGTTATACACCAGCTAGAGATTGTGGAAGATAGAGACCCCACACCTGCAAGAAAATCAAGGTCGCATGCAACAAGGGAAAGAGGTGCAAGCCCATACAGCTCAGGGAACGCGAAGCACAGAACATCCAGAGTGAGAAGCCCTAGTCCACACAGCGACATGCAACCAAATCAAAGATCCTTTAGCAAACCGCGATGCAGATTTTGTCTGCAAAAAAGCCACAAAACCAGTCGCTGTAACGAAGTAACTTCACCTCACGTTCAGAAGGCAGCTGGTGATACAATCACGCCTGTGCTGGAAATGCTTGAATTCAGGACACAAAAGACAGCACTGCAATGCCCCTCCGTGTCGCAGTTGTGGTCGAAATCATCACGAATCTCTGTGTCTCCAAAGAACGCACGCTAGTTCTAACAAAGCTCCTAGTCCACATCAAAGACAACACAGCCGAGGAAGCTCGGTGGACAGTTATCAATCGGAGGTTGATTCGAGGAGCAATTCTAGGATGAAGTTCAGATCTCCAAGCCCGACTTCAGAGGAAGGTCCACTACCGAAAGGGGACGACAGCAGCGAAGAGGATCACCGCATCCCAAAGTTGGATTCAAAAGAACATCCAAAACTTATACCTATTCTAGTTCGTCACCCACACCAGATCTGCGTAGTCCGAAGTTGTCAGAAAACGAAACCGATTTCTCGGATCAATTTTCTGACGAATCGGACGAAGAGGTGTTCCGCGTAAACACACTGCGAACGGAAACGGTAACAAATCTCACATCACGCGGAGAAAGAAGCCCCAAGGAAGAAAAATTTACAAACTCCCCACGTCTTATGGTAGTTCAAGCATTAACCATCAACAAAACTACAAAAACACAACAAATGTTAACAGTGCTCCTAGACAGTGGTTCACAACACAGCTACATAAGAAAGGACACAGCATTGCGCTTGGGGCTCCAACTGAAAAACCCACACAACATTACCGACATTAGCCTTCGGAGGCCATTCAACTACCGAAACATCGTACCGCGTGAAAATTATACTCCAAAATAAATCAAATGGTAATCCCACAACGCTCTATTTATGGACGCGGAAGCACATAACTACAGTACCGGTAGAAGCAAATAGGAGAACACATGCAACAACAGCCGAAATTGGAAGGAAAAAACACATGAAACTGAAGTCGATATCCTCATAGGAATAGACAACTATTGGGATGTAGTCGAATTCAATTCCAATCGTCAACTTCCATGCGGCTTAGTTGAATCGAAGAACAAAACTTGGACCGGTACTGTATGTTCAGCGCCCGCTTCATCACGAACGAGTTCCGTCTGTAAGGGAAAATCCGACCACGACCACCAATCAGTGAGCGATATGGATCACCTAGTGCAACGTTTGTTTGGTCTAGAATCCTTCGAGACGGGAGACGAAACAGACGACATTAACAAGAGTATAATCCAACAATACTACGATACAGTTCAAATCAAGAATGGTCTCATACACGTCCAATTCCCTTGGAAAACAGTCACCCCCCTCTCGCCGACAATAAGGCATTGCAATATGAAGACTGGAAAACCAGTACAACAAAGTACGCCATAATCCCAAGATATGGGCAGAATACTGCAAGACCTTTGAGCAGCAAATTCAGTCAGGAATAATTGAAGAGGTGGACGAAGCGCTCAGTTCAAGGGAAATGGGTATATTACATTCCTCATCAAGCTGCGTTCAAAGAGGATAGTGACAACAGAACTAAGAATCGTCTTCGACGCATCAAGCCATATGAAAGGTGTATCCAGTCTCCGTGTCCATCAAGGACCAACATTATTACCAGACTTATGTGGTACGCTATTAAGAGCCCGTCTGACACCCATACTCATAATAGCAGACGTGGAGAAAGCATTTCACCAAATCAGGCTGCAAGAAGACCAACGAGATGCTACGAGATTTCTCTGGCTAAAAGATACCACAAAAGAACCGAGTAGAAACAACATTCGCATCCTGCGATTTACACGTATTCCATTTGGAGTAAATGCTCACCGTTTTTACTCAGTATGTCCATAAAATATGCACTTGAACGTAAAGGGAAGGATTCACTACAAGAGGAAATCCTCGCGAATACCTACGTCGACAATGTTTTAATTGGCGCCAACACAGTCGAAGAAGGTATACGAAAACGAACGCAATGCAAGGACACATTCTCTACGATGGGCATGAACCTTCCGCGAGTTCATGTCTAATAACGAAGCCGTAGTCGAATCCATCCCACTCAGGATAGAATGCAAAGTGACAATAGTACAGTGAAACTCCTAGGACTCAGATGGGATACGCGAAAAGATACACTGACAATCTCTATAGAAACACTAACCAAAGAAGTCACTACTAAACGCACGGCACTAAAAGCATTCGCCTCCACATTCGACCCATTAGGCTTCTTAACACCACTACTCATAAAAGCAAAAATCTTCATACAAGACCTATGGGTACAGAAATACGCATGGGACGACCCGTTCGACGAAACCGCATCAGCAAAATGGAAAAACATCGTAGAGGACATCAAAGGGTTCAACGGAAACGTACCACGATTCATAACGGCCACGGAAGGAACGAAACGATCTAGTGATCTTCTAAGACGCATCGCAAAGGGCATACGCAGCAGTCGCATACTTAGTATGTCGACCGCTGAGGAGAAGACCCTTCAGCCATCTAATATTTGCGAAAGCCAAACTGGCTGCGGTGAAAAAGACCTCGATTCCAAGACTAGAACTTCTCGGTTCTGTCCTGGCAGCAAAAATAGTACGTTTTTTACGAACCCAGCTCCGCATCCCTCTTAGTTCAGTACAGATGCTATCTGATTCTCAGATAGCCCTCTACTGGATACACTCCACGAAACAACTAAAAACTTTCGTCAGCAACAGGGTCAAGAGCATAAAAGAAGTGATGAGCGAGCTTACAGAAGCAAAAATCCCATGCAGGTTTCATTACGTCAACACCGACAGCAATCCAGCAGATTGTGCAACCAGAGGATTATCAGCTTCTGAGTTCGCCAATCACATGTGGTGGCACGGACCAGATTTTATACTCAACCCACCTAACACATGGCCTAACACAGAAATGGATTTTACAACTAAACCTGCTACTTCAAGTGAGGCTCAGGAAGAGTTCAAAGTCTCTAACCACAAGTAATACAACAGAGACATACAAGTCATTCATCCCATTCGACAAAACAAACTCATATAAAAAACTGCTTCGAATCACTTCATACGTACTGAAGTACATCGCTTGCTTATGGCGCAAAAGTAAAACAGTTACCTCAGCAGACGAAACCAATTGTAGGGTCATCCAGCTTGTCTCACAAACTCAGGCAATTACTACAGAAGACATTAAGGCTGCAGAAATTCTACTGCTTCGAGAACACTATCGCGAAGGAATTCTTCAACTTAATAGTCGCGTAGTACAACGCCTCGAAGTATCTCAGGACATCCACGGAATCTACCGCGGAGACCTGCGAATGGCACACGCAGAAATCGCCGAAACAGCGAAGGAACCGATCCTGCTATTGCCAAAACACCGGCTGACAAGGATGATAATCCAGGATACACACCAGAAGCTGTTCCACGCTGGAGCATCTCACTTGATAGCGGACCTTAGGAATCTCTACCTCATCCCCAGGATCCGCAGGATAGTGAACTCAGTCATCAAAGGATGTGTAACCTGTAGAAAACATCAGGGAAGACCCTTCTCATACCCACATAGACCGGATCTGCCAGCGCAAAGAGTAGTACGAAGCAGACCGTTTCAAAACACAGGTCTAGACTACTTTGGTCCCCTAACAGTACGTCCAGAAATAGGAGACGATAAAAAAGTTTGGGTGTGTCTCTTCACGTGCATGACAACTCGTGCCCTGCACCTGGAAGTCGTAGCCGACAATACTGCATCACAGTTCGTCCTGACCTTCAGAAGATTTGTGGCACGCAGAGGAACACCAAACCTAGTACTCAGCGATAACGCACCCACTTTCAAGCTAGGTAGCGAAATACTCGTGAACGAGCTACGCGAAGTTAAGGAACACCCAGTGGTTCAGCAGTTCACGACGTGCGAAGGTCTCAAATGGAAATCTATAACCCCACTCTCTCCTTGGAAGGGTGGATTCTACGAGAGACTAGTAGGGTCAGTGAAGTCGGCACTCAAGAAAACTATTCACAGAAACACAATTGACATATGGACTCTACAAACCCTTATTTCAGAAATAGAGTCAACACTAAATACTCGGCCAATTACTCCAGTGGTTACAAACTCGACAGATAACGCCTTTGTACTACGGCCAATTGACCTCATTAACCCCTACTTCACACCTCCCAACATAGAAGCGTTTAGCAGGAGCGATCGCATACCCACTCCGGAAACTCAAGAGGAGCTCACTAACTCATATGTCCTACTCCAACAGTCGTTGGAAACCTTTTGGAGCCATTGGCAAAAAGACTACCTCCAAAACCTCGCAGAACGTAATCAAAAGAAAACCAGCTCAAAGCGACACGCAAAGAATACTCCAAAAATCGGAGATGTGGTACTAATAAAACAAGAAAATACTACAAGATCGCTCTGGCCGCTTGGCCTTATAGTTCAAATAAACGACTCTGTCGACGGCTCAATACTATCTGTTAAAGTCAAAACAGGCAATAACAAAGTTCTAGACAGATCAGTAAATCAGCTTATTCCACTTGAAGTAACAACAGCCGAAGAAACTACAACTAAAAGAACTTCGAGGAATAATGCTCAACCACTTCGCGTCCAACCGAGTAGAAGAGTAGAAAGAGCAGCAAGGTAAGTTCATATCACTTACTCAAAACTTCACCTACACTAGCAACACTTCGAATTTCAATCTAATATTAACCAGACGCGCTCTTGTTTTTTCCTTTTCTCGTAAACTGATCTTATACTCATTTTATGACTCCACAGGTCAGGAAATTAACACTCATTCTTAACTAAACATTACACTAATCAGCTGATCAAAGGACGCGCTAAGTTACATCAAGAGAGATCCCGTCCGGAAGTTACAGGAAGGAACGCGCCAACATGACAAAATCTTGAAATCCCATTTCGGCGCGAAGCCAGCTTTGGAACGACAACTATTCTTTAATTTCGATATCTCGTTAAGCGACATAATTCTCATTCATTGCTTCGTTCACCCATCTACAACGGGACCCTCTGAAAACCTTTTGAAGAGCAGTTCCTTCTGTGTGTAAGTTATTTACTAACATTTCTCGCTGTACTAGGCAAAACGTATTTCGAAATAAGCTAATTTTCGTTTTTACTTCATTACTCACCATTTCCTCATCGCATAGTCTCCCCTAAGATCGATGCCTAATTTATTCAAGTGTTACTATGCGTAATCTACAGCATCCCTTCAAAAATAGTAAATTCTCATTTTGAATCAATAGCCATATTTGGAGTAACACCTCTGGTAGCTAAATCCTTCAGCAAGTAACAAAGCCAAATATATCAGTTCAGTTCCATCACCCATTGTTCTGATGCAGTTACCATCATCTCATTACTCTCATACATTACCACTCACAGCTCCTTTTATTTTATCATTTGCCTTTTGTGCCAATAGTTAAGAACATTCACAATAGTACACTATCGTAGTCCACATTCTTCAGAACGTCTCGAGTAGTATACTACAGACTCATTCTCAATTAATTAATCTAGCGATTATTCTGGTAAGGAATCAACCGCTAGATATAAGATCTACACGATGGATTGAATACATGCCACGGTACTAGTTCAATCATTCTCAACAAGGATCTACTCCAGCAATTACAGTGCTCTACCCCACCTGACTGCGAACAGTCTTCCTTGTGCCTCGGGGGCTGCTGGACTTCGGTCCAACACTCCTATTGATTCACTCTGCAGAATAGTCCACTACTTTGTCCTGATTGTAACTGTAGTCCATGACCTCCTCGCGTATATTCCACTAATATTGACGTGACTATGATGCGCGGCGTGACAACCGAGACGATAGGTAGGCGACCATTTGCTTTCTCTGACTGATTGTTTAGAGCAGTCGACTACTGCGCCGGTCCGTTTTCCGCCATTATAATGTCGATCATTTTCGCGCCGCTCTCCATCTCAAGGCCCAAGTCCTAAGTTTGCTTCTTCCTTACTGACTACTCATTCCTTCGATTTCTGGCCGCACTCAATTACGGCGATAATCCACCTCGAGATCTCTATCCCTAAGTTTACTCCTTTTTACTTTTGCTCGTTCCTTGAGTGTACGTCTAGTTCCAGATCTGGCGTCTGCGACCATCTCAGACAGTGGCTGCGATTCTACGACGCTCCTTTATAACCATAGCTACTCACATCCCTGTTGTCACTAACTCATTAGTGCTGTGCTGTTGCTGCTACTTACCTCCTTAGTTATGCTCTCACTTCCTGGCACTAACCACATTATTACACTGGTTCTAAATATTAGTGGTTCTTCCCTATGCTTGGAACTACGTTTTTCTTGTAGTCACTAAGTTGTAGGTTTGTTATGTTGTTGTTGTTGTTGTAGTTGTTGCTGTAGTTGTTGTTGTTGTAGTTGTTGCTGTAGTTGCTGTTGTTGTAGTTGTTGCTGTGGTTGCTAGTTACGACCCAGCGCTTCGTATCCTTAGTTCACTCAGGCGCTATAAGTATTATTAGTTGTTGTGCTAGTCCACCATAGGTGTCGAGCCTTCTCTCCGACCCAAGCTGAAAGTCTAA